GGTAGATAACAGAATCTTTTTTTTGGATGGTGGGGCCAATCATAAAATTCAAAGGTACCATTAGAAATTATATGGCCTGGCCCCCCATTTTAGAAACTAGGAAACTGAGCCCAAAAGCACTGCCTGAAGTTCACGTTATTTAGAACACCAAGCCTATGACCTAAGAATCCAAACCTTCTGATTCTAAATCTACTGTTCTTTCCATTAATGCTGCACTGAGTACTGGAAAAGGGTTTGGCTTCACATTCAGATCTAGGTGGATGCAAGTTCAGGTTCCCCTCTTACTAGTCTAGGACTTCAGACAAATCAATCTCTGAGAGTCTCGTGACTTATCATCTGTAAAACGGGGACAAATATATTACTATGCTTATATTTCTCCATTTACTCTTTATAATACTCATGCTCGCTCGCTCTCTCTCTCTCATCTTCCCTCCCTCCTCCCTCCCTCCCTTCTTCCCTCCTCTTCTTCCCCTTTTTTCCTCCCCCTCTTTCCCTTCTCCCCATGAGGTGACACAGAGTCTGTAAACCTGGAAGAAGGCTCTCACCAAGAACCTGACCTTGCTGGTACCCTGATCTCAGACTTCCCACCTTCAATCCCAAACTATAAAAAGTAAATATTTGTTGTTTAAGAAAAAAACAACAAAATGCTAAATGGCTAGAACAGAGGTTGGCACACAGTATGGATTGGGTTAAAAGTTAGGTACTAATACTTTTCAATCNAACTAATGCTAAATGGCTAGAACAGAGGTTGGCACACAGTATGGATTGGGTTAAAAGTTAGGTACTAATACTTTTCAATCACAGGTTGTTATATGAGAAATATTTATGCATCATCTATATGCCAAGCACTTCGGTAGGTACTTTAAAAGAAGTAGAGACAAACATCACTGCTCCCTCCAGGGTGCCTAAATCACCAGATTAGCAATCCGGGCCTTGGTGGCATGAAAATGGTGCTGAAATCACTCTGAGAATTTAACTTAAACTTGGGAAGTGGAATATACACTGAGATGATAAGCTTATATGACTTGATATAGAACAGTATTAAAAAAAAATGGGTTACTTGGGGGAAAAGAGAATTATGTGGGAAATAAGTTATTCAGCTTTCTCCCTTGTAGTTCTCTATACTTTGGAAAGCCCTAACACGGGCATCAGATAATTCTCAAACTTATTTGACCATAAAATCTTTTTGTCACGAAGCATTTCAGAGGCTCACTGTTCAGAAGAATGAGCTTTGAGAAACATGGTTTAGACTCCCCTGATAGAGAGCACAGAGGCGGAAGGACAGCTGAAATATCGTAAGAAAACCACCCCAAAAGAATAAGTCAGATGTCCCAAGGAAGTCCTCAACCAAGAGCCCGAGGATCACTCCAAACTCAGGTTGCTTAATCGTAAGGAGATCTGCACAGAGAAAAAGGAATAGAAATAACACTTACTGAGCAATGTGCTACGCAACCAGTACCAGAGGATGGACACTGTGCTGAACAACCCTAGAAGGGAGGTACCATTAGCAGCATGAGTATTATCGTACAGATGTCAAAACTGAGAAAGCGAAGTCCCAGAGAAGTTGATTCCTTTTTTAACGTCACTGTGCAAGGAGGTGAACTGAGTCTCCTCACTCAAACACCCCAGTTCTTTCACATTCTCCTCATGTATAAAATAATATCACAGCCAATTCTCTGACTACAATATGGCAAAAGGTCAGCTTTACAGTCACGCCAGTCTTGTATAATAGCTGTGATGGTGATTCTCAATCCTTGCTCCTAAGCATGCTCACAGATATAAATCTTTATTTGTATCATGGGAGAATTCGTTCTATCATATACTCTAGAAGGGCAGGGCTGAACTATGTTTCCACCCAGTAGTCATGAACTTGTGCAAAGGCTGCCACAGGCAAAAACTGTAAAAGTAAGGTGTCAACTTTTCAAAAATAAAGTCAGTAACATAGAATTATCTAAAAGCGAAAAGTGAACCAGTTGATGCCAGTGTCATGAAGTGATCATAGGCTCTCAAGGCACAGTTTGCTAAACAAAGGGCACGCTTGGACAAAATTAAAGAATTCTGTTGTGGTTATATTATCAATGATATGAAATAGTGAAGCCACAGAGAATGTTGGACCTGCTACCACTCTCTGACCAGAGATGTGAATAGAAAAGTCAGCCAAGTGCTTTGACTTTGTGGAGAAAGTATATAAACATAGGCTCTGGAAATTGATTCATTCACGTCATCAATAAATCTCTGCTTTTGAACTATGAGGGGAATCTGTATGTTACTTGCTACTCATTTTGAAAAGCTGGTCCCAAGACCAAGTCCTTTGTCCTTTCTAAGGGACTGCACTCCACAAATGGCAGGCATGAGATTAGAAACTCCAGGCTCCCCACTTACAAGCCTTGGGACTTGGAGCTAAAAATGTCAACTTCCAACCAAATTATTTTAGGTACTAAGGATCCCGTTTGCAGGTCGGGGAACTGAACAGTTAAGGTTCTCCGAATTTAGCGTCCCTGTTTATTGAATCATGTCATTTCTTTAAACTCAATGAAAACATTCCAAAAAAACTAGACGTCATACATATCAACTCTTATATTTGGTGACAGAATTAATCACTTTTCCTGTGCCATTTAACCCTGAAATCTTTCTTATTCTAGAAGGGCATGTTGAAGAAGTCCTGAAACACACTGACTTTTCCATGACCTGTAAGTAGAAAAAGAAAATCTAACAGGCAACTGGAGGCTGCCAATGGAGGTCACATACAAAGAAATGAACATTGCAGCAGCAGTTCTCCCAATACCTTCCACAAGTCCCTTGACAAGAGATGCAGCTTGGTTACTTTGTAAAATAAAACAGGTAGAGATGAAAGTCATTGGGTGCCCATGAGTACAGCCAGGCTAGGTTACTGTCTGTTTTATGAGCAGCCTCTGTTCCGACTGGTTGGAGTTGCTGCCAATCTAGTTACTTTCTTTTCTATATCTCAAACGACAGGGGTTAATGAACGCATAAAGGAGCCAGGCAAGTGAAATGGCCCAGAGTGGGGCGGTGGCAAACTAGAGAAAAAGTGTACCAGCTGAAGTGGATACTTGCTGCTCAGCCCCTGCAGGCTGAAATCACACAGGAAAATAAGCCCACTGTGGCCAGACTTTCCTTTAAAAATTTTTTAAAATTGATTTTAGTGAGAGAGAGGAAGGGAGAGAGGGAAAAACATCAGTTTGCTGTTCCACTCGTTCATGCATTCACTGATGGATTCTTGCATGTGCCCTGACCAGGGATTCCACCGGCAACCTTGGCGTATCAGGACAATGCTCTAACCAACTGAGCTACCAGGCCAGGGCCAGACTTTCCTTTCTTTCTTCCTTTTTTATGTGTTTTTTTTTTTTAAAAAAACAAACACAGCTGGAAATCCCTGCATATTTTAAAATATTTATTCCTAATTCAATCTTTAAAATGCTGTCTGACAACAAAAAACATCTCTAGGACAAGAGTTGCCAGTTTCCTGTTGGGGGCTGTCTGTGACCGCTAAAACGGCTCTAAATGACAGCAAGTGTACAGACTGGGAACACGGCCCTGCCCTGATGGCAGCACTGCACCACAGTGATTAGGTATAAATCACAGGTATATGATTTCAGCAATTAGTTATGTATCACAAATATGGGGCAAAAGCATTTTTTTATAGTTTACTGAAAACAGCATTTAAAGAGCAGTTAATTCTTTCATAGATGCTTAACGAACATGGTCAGAGTCCTCAACAGGGCTGTCTACGGCTTGGGGAAAGCTGGAGTTAACTCTTCAAACTAAGCTGTTACATAAAATTTCTGCTCACAGAACCCTGCTGTACCTACCCTCGTTAGCAATCTGTCTCCTAAATGTATCCCCAGTTCAGTTCCTCTGAGACAGCTGAGAATCTTTTGCACATCAGAACACAGATAAAGAGAGGTCTCTGTAGAGTATTTTGCAACAAAGGAGATACGGGCCTCCACCCCTCTTTTTCCCCTAGGAGCTCGAGGTACTTTTCCACTTTTTTGTTTCTTTGTAAAATAGACTCATTCCCTCTTCCGAACTACTTAAACCCAGCTGGATGGGGACGGCTTGAATTCGTATACCATACAACGTATTTAATGACCTTTTTGCTATTTTCAATGGCTTCATGTCTATTCTAACACGTGCTCTCAGTTACTTTAAAAGTGCGTTAACACTTATTGAAAAGAAGAATATTTGATCCACTGTTTTATTAAATTAGCAAGTAATCATTTAACACTAAGCACCAAGTTTTAATTAGATTTTGCTGTTGTCCTCTCCCGAGGGACCAGGTCGGCCCAGCCATCAGTGAATTAGAATCCAGTGCCTGACTCAGTGTTTACTTATTTGAAATTAAGGCTCTGAAACTTCCTGTTACAGGCACAATAAGCAAACACCAGAAATAAGGGTTTGGCAACTAGATGGTGGGATGAAGGAAATGGTGCCTCTGTCTTTCTGGGCTTCACCAGAGGATCAAGTGAGCAATTTCCAAGCACCCCCTGGGGATACGGAATAGATGGCTCAACACAGCTCTTCCTCCTACGAGGCTCACTTCCTTAAGGGCCTGAATCTGCATGACATCATACTGCAGGCATGTTCTAACAGACAGACAAACACAAACACATGAATGGAAGTAAGCCAAACAAAATAATTTACACGGTGCCTAGAAAGAATAACTAGTTAAATACTTCTTATAAACAGCCCAAGTCTAAATACTCTGTCATCTTTCCTGCTTTACAAATAAACCCTTCATTTTTCCCGATCAAATCATTTTCCTACTCTAATGCATTTGTGGTATTTTTAAATTATAGGAATTGAATTATATTAATAACAGAGTCCAAGGCTTTCATCCCTGGGATAGACTCAGTGCCCACTGGCAGACGCAGGCGGTGCTGTTTGGGTAAATATGCCTTCGAAAGGGAAATGTTTACTTCAGCACAGAGGAAACTAAGCATCAGCCTCAGGTAACTAGTTCAATAGAATCAGAGACATACCTGTAGGTTTTCAATTTCTTCTTTGTGCTCCCTCTTCAAGTGTAAAATAGCAGCTTGGTATTCTGTAAGATCACAAAAAACGCCAATTACAAAAAAGCACAAAACCATACACAAAACCCAAAGTGAGCATCTCCAAGATTCTAGAGGTGCTTCTACTGGTAAACTGAGTACATAAATGCAACAATTTGATATTCACTTGACAAGAGATGTTGAAAATTGAGACAAGACAGGACAAGGAGCTCAGGATAAAAGGAAGATTTCCTTCCATTTAGCAAATCTTGAATTACAATAAGATCCAAATTAGGCAGATAGCATAGGGTTAAAAAAAAAAAAAAGCTTTCTGAGTGTTCCAGATAAAGACTGGGTCAGGGTTTGTCTTTAAGGAGGAGCTGGAAGTTAAGGCCCCACAAAGAACAAATACAGATGTGTTAAGAACAGGCACACAGGAAATAAAAGACAACTTTCTAAGTGAGATCAGAGATTTCTATTTTTAACTCCCTCCTCCCCACAAAAATCTCCATTTGAATGCAAGGCTAAGCAAGCACTGGGGCTGATTTAAATCTTTAGATCACTTCAGAAAGTGAAGACCATTTGTCATTTGGGTGAGAGAGTAGAATGTAGGGTGAGTTGAAGTTGAAAAGAGGGCAAAAATAAATCTCTGGTGCAATCTTAGTCTGAGTCTAATAATGTTTATTCCAACAATAAGTCCCAAGTGTACACAGGAACTCCAGCCAACCACTAAAACTACCATTCCCTGGCTCAGCATGAAGCAGCTCTGACAACTTCATTCCCAGCAATAGGGCTAAGTATGTGGGGTCACAGAGCTATGCAGGCTGCAGAGCCACAAAGCAAATGCTGTGAGAAAGCATTTTAGTGGCGTAAGCCAGTTTTTTTACAAGTGTGTTTGGGCTGTATGAATTTTAAAAATGTCAGTTAGGTGTCATTTTAAAATGTATGAAAAGACAGGCTATGTCTTCAAGTGAATTTCAGAAATCAGTCATGAAAAGCTTGGTTTCTTGTGTTTTTTTTTTAAAATATGCTTTTATTGATTATTAGAGAGAGAAGAAGGGAGAGAGATAGAGAGATAGAAACATCAACATCAATGAGAGAGAAATATCACCCATTGACTGCCTCCTGCGTGCCCCCTACTGGGGATCGAGCCCGAAACCTGGGCACGTGCCCTGACTGGGAATCAAACCAAGAGGTTCCTGGGTCGAGGCTCAACGGCTGAGCCACACCGGTCAGGCTGAAAGGCTAGGTTTCAATTCTAAAGTGGAAGAGGGAAATTTTTGGTAAAGCCATAACGGGAGAGGAAGGTTGCTGTTGATAATTATGACTAGTCATACCACTGCTCTTGTGGGGAATGTGGTCCACTGCGCTGTGAACCCATCAGCAAATTCTGTGGATTCTACATCCAAATCATACCTTCAATCAAACCACTTCTCCCATCCCACAAACACCACGATGGTCCAAGCCACCGCCACCTTTTCGCTGGACCACTGCAGTAACCTGAAAAGGTTACCTGCTTTCACTCTTAGTATCACCAAAACCCATTCTCCTCACATGATCTGTTAAAGGCATGAACCACGTCATGACCTTCTCTGGGTTTCTGCTGCACTTAAGAGTGAAATCATAACTCCCTACCACAGCCCTTGGGGACCGGCCTCTACATACCTCTCCCTGTCTTCCCCCTGCTCATCACACTCCAGGCACACTGGCTTTCTTGTTTTTCCCTGAACTTGTCAAGTTCTTTCTACCTCAAAATCTATGCTAATACCGGCCGCCATAATAATGGTTGTATTTATTGAGCACTTGCTATGTACCAGGTGTTATCTAAGCGCTTCGCATGTATCGGCTCATTTCATCCTCACAATAATCCTATGATGTAGGTACACTTTTCTCGTTAAAAAGGAAGAAACTGATGCAAAGCTGGGTAAGTTGCAGAGCTAGAAAACATACACAATTCAAAGAGTGAATGTCTCAATACACTGTAGTAGATCCACAGGATGGAATACTACTCAACAACAATAAGGAAAGAACTAATGATACATACATAACATAGATGAACCTCGAAGGCATTATGCAGAGTGAAGGAAGTCGGTTTCAGAAGCCTAACTATTGTTTAACTCAATTTATATGACATTCTGGAAAAGACAAAACCATAGGGATTAGGAACAGATCAGAGTAGTGGCTAGAGGTCAGAGATGAGGGAAGGTTTGACCAGAAAGGGTCAGCACAAAAAGGGACCTTCGGGGTGATGTGACTATTTTCTATCCTCACTATGGTGGTGGTTACACGAATCTATACATGGGTTCAAAATGACACAACTGTACACCAAGTTAATTCTATAGTATGCTAATTTTTAAAAATCTACATCAAATATTATACTTCTAAATCTTTTCCCTAGGAGATTCAGCATAACACAAGAATACCTGTTACTACCACTTCTATTCATCGTTTTCCTAAGGGTACTAGCAGATGTAGTAAGACAAGAAAAAAAGAAAATAAACATGCTCATGCACACGTGACATACAAATTTATATATATATACACACATATGTATACATAATAAAGAGGGAATAAAGCTATTATTCACTATGATTATATATTTAGAAAAATCCAAGATTCTATAAAATATTAGAATTAATAATGTGAGTTTAGTAGGGTTGCTTGATTTAAAATCAGAATACAAAAATTCTGATATCAGCAAGAGTATAAAAAAGAAAACTTAGGATAACATTTACAATACCCATACTAAGTACAAAGTACTTAGAAAGAACCTTAATGAAATATGTAAGACGTCATGAGAAACTAGAAATGCTATACTGAAATATATTACAAAGAAAAATACAGGCAGGTAGTGAGCAAGCTATGTTTGGTAAGGCTCAACATTGTAAGGATTTTAATTTTCTCAAATTGGTCTATAGATTCAGTGCAATCCCACTGAACATTTCTAAGAATTTTTGTTTTGTTGACTTAAGGAGCTCAATCTAAATATATATTGGCCCGGCCGGGCGTGGCTCAGCGGTTGAGCGTCGACCTAGGATCCAGGCGATCAGGGTTCAATTCCCAGTCAGGGCACATGCCCGGGCTGCGGGCTCGATCAATGACTCTCTCATCATTGATGTCTCTCTCTCTCTCTCTCTCTTTCTCCTTTCCTCTCTCTGAAATCAATAAAGATATATTTAAATATATATTGAAGCACAGGAGTGTAAAAACAAAACAATGAGCCAAGAAATTCTTGAAATCATAAATGAAAGGTAAGACCACCAGTAAGAATTATTTTAAATTATAACGAGATAATTAAAGTGCTGTGCTACTGACACAGGGATAACAAATAGACTGAAAGAATAGACTAGAGAGCCCAGAAATATACCATGAATTTATGGTCAGTTGGCATATGACAGAAGCAGCATGGGAGATACTTGCACAGCAAGAACTGTCTTTTCATTAACTATTGGTTGGGAAAAGTGGATATTTACATGGAAAAACATGAAACTGGACTCCAACTTTATACCATATAATAATCTATTCTAAGTCAATTAAGAGCTAAATTATAAAAAACAAAACCATAAATGTTTTATAAGATATATGGCATAAGTTTTTTAAAACCCTAGGCTAGGAAAGGACTTATGATTCAAACTGCACTACTTATTTTAAAAACTAATAAACTTTGCTACATTAAAATTAAGAACTTCTTTTCATAAAAATACATCATAAAGAGAAAGAAAAGACAAGCCAGAGTGGGGGAATATACTTGAAACAAATAATCAAAGATCTACTATAAATATATATATCAATAATTCCTACACAATTATAGAAAATGAAAATAGGCAAAAAGTGTCAATAAGTGCTCTAAAAAGAGGACATACAAATAAGAGATAAATAAATTAAAAGGTGCTCATTCTCATTAGTTATTAGAAATATTTAAAGTCCAATAACACTGAGTGTTGGTGAAGGTGTGGAGCTATGGAAACTCTCATACGCAAGTGGTAGGAGTGCAAATTGGTACAATCACTATGGAAAATGTTTTGCATTTTATAATAAAGTGGAAGATACTCATACTCCCTAGCCAACAATCCTAATGCTAGAAACACATAAATGGGGGGGG